AGATCACTAGGTTCTCTTTCTGATGCTCCAATAAGCTGCAAGGTCTGTAAAAAGGTCTGGGGTCTTTTGGGAAATCATAACTTTTAACTCAAAGGTTTTTTTCCTTCCTAATTCAAAAATGTAGCTATGGATTCTTAGTGAGGAGGGAAATGTTTTCTGCACCTACTCAGAGGTACTCTTGTCTTTTCATGCTACAAAGCTGAATCCTGCATTGAATTTGTTTTTTAGAGTAGCTCTTGTTGATATGAAATCATGTCGAGTGTTTCTTTCGTGTTCATTTCAAATTACATAAACTGACAGGGCACGCTACCCTATATAAAAAGAGAGCAAACCCCCACTCCCTTCTAGCACTAAGGATGAAATGGCTGCCAGTAAACAACCAAGCTCAGAGAGCATTATGGACTCCGCAGTTGCATAAACTGTCAGTCAAGCACTGATTCATATTCAAGTGCAAATGCTAATGATGAAAAGCAGTCTTAAATCTAAATTAGCAATCAGAATTATGGAAAGTGGTATGCAATTATAATCAATTCATATACAATACTGCCGATTTTCACCAATATTGCGTGCTGTGGGTTTTCTACTTCTTATTTTTAACCTCATCCAGAATCATGAAATAGTTCTACCAAATTCACAACATTTCAGCCATGAAACAGAATGTAGTGGAACCTCCAGCTGAAGGGAAAGGGGCCCTGCCAGGGGGAATAAAGAGACATTCCATCTTGGGGAGTGGGGGGGGGGAGAAGGAAACGTTTTAAGATCAAACCCTTAGATCTATATCTGCCATTTCCCAAGGGAAAGTATGCAATCTGGCGCAAGATACTTATAATATAGGTGATGAACAATAAAATACCTGCTTGAGCCTATCCACAAGTGCTTATGGTTGCTTGCACCCGACACAGAAGTGGTTTTGATGTAAACACAGTCGTCGTATTTTAGTAGGTGAGATTCCATTATTATAAATGCTAATTGGATGCAAGATTTTCTTGAGCTTACAAGCATTCGTTTATTTTGTGGAAGAGGTTAGAGATAGACAAGTCGGTTATTTACTTCAGAGAAAAATAATAGAGACAACCAGAAATGGGGGACAGCTTTGAAAAGAAAAACTGTGTTGAATTATGCTTTGGATTCTATCTGGTTTCTGTTATGAGATCTATTTTGCCTGTATCAATATGTAAAAAGTAAAAAAAAATACAAGTCCATCTCAAATAGGAAATATAACCAGATATAAGCAATAAAGCTAAATTATTTATAGTTGCTGTGCCATATGCCATCATCCAGTATCCCTTGAAAAATAATGAAAAAAGGTGTAGTTCATAAAGTTATTTGCACTTGATGAAAGAAATTGTATCTGATTTGTAAAAATAAAAGTTTGCATTTCATATTGCCCATTTAAATTATTAAATGGAATTTCTTGGTGTTTCATTGATCGTCCAGATTTTTTCCCCATTGCTTGTAAAATGGCTAATGCATATTTATTGCTGCTTGAAGTTCTGTTTCTCCCTCCCTTTTTGTTCCTTTTTCTCTTTGGAAATTGGCCAATTTTTTTACATTAGACAGTTTGTAGTCACCAACAATTATGGGTTCCAAAGCCTGGACATAGTATTTGCACTGTGAAATGCATATTATTGCCTGTTATGCATTTCTCTAAAAAATAAAAAACATAACTCCTTTAATACAAAAGCAATTAAAACTGTATAAAAATAGAACAAATGGAAAACATGCCAATAGTATGAATGAAAACAATTATTTGTCTTTTCCTGTACCAGGGATGGGGATCATTTTTAGATGTTTCTGGGCTGCAACTCCCACCATTATTCACTGTTTATAAAGGCTGGAGGTAGTATGAATCACAGATGTTCAGCAATATTTTCCAGAAAGAGAAATTTGGTTTGTTTTCAAGTCTTACTGTATCCCTCAGTAGTAGCTCATAGGGACTTTACAAAACCATTTGAAGAGAGAGATCTGGTAGAAGGGTTGTTGACCTGCACTGCATATTCAGGGGTCTATGACAATCATGGCCAACTCGCCACGGGACAAGAGGTACACTAATATCAAAGAAATAGTGGAATACAATCATTAAAAAAAGGATGCAAAAGGAGGGACAGAATGAAATGTGAATGACAAAACTTAAAAAAAAATATTTTGAATAATTAAATTGAATTGTTAAATTGTCCCATGGTGAGTTGTCCTGCAGTGAGTTAGCCATGGTGAGTTGGCTGCAGCGAGTTGGCAGTGGCAAGTTGTTCCATTCCATATAGGAGGGACTCTTCAAGATGTGGTTGGGATACTTTAAGCACCAGTCAGAAAGATATTTTATTTGGCAGCCCTCGTTTTGCATAGTTCTGGCAATTTATTCCTGTATGAAAAGCTGAATACACTTTTTAGACAAATTTGTGATGGTTAGCATTTAGAACTACTTTTACTTTTATATGATGTACAGTATATGGTTTTAAATGGATACTTCTTATTCATTTCTCCCTGCTAAAGTATTTGAAGCCTTTTCTACAAAAATAAACAGGAAAACATGCTGGGTAACATGAAGAACAAATTTCCTCCAACATCCTTTTTCATAATGTTCAAGCAGAAAACTTTAGGAAACTAACAAGTGGATTGAAAGGCAATAACATTTTTTATTTCCCAGCAACTATAATTCAGAAGCATATTAATTCTAGAGGTTGGATGTAATTATAATAACTTGGAATTATCTGATAATACTTTTAATATTGATAATATTTGATAATACTTTTCTTTTACAGTAGCATTCTGTATTTTCCAATAACTGTAAATCAGAAGAACATTATTTCTAGAGCCTGGATATAACCACCATGATTTGGGACTACTTGATCATGCTTTTCCTCCATTAATCTGAAGTCTACACACTTGTCAAAATTACATTTATTTGACCATCCCTTCAAATTCTATATAGTTTTTACTATATACAGTAGAATCATGGAGAGAAATTCTGGATCTTATGCAATTTCTACTCTTTGCTATGATTCTTTTATTCTTTCATTGCTACAGTGCAAAGTTGAATTATTCTTAAAAGCTGAAGGATCAGTTAGTTGCAAAATCTTTCTGGCTAAATAAATGCTTGGGGACCTTATTGCTAGTATATTACTAGACTTACCCCTTAGTCAAAAGTGTTTCAGTTTGCTGTTCTGGCATACCAAATTGCTAAAATGTGCAGACTATTAGAATCATGGGGCAAAAGGACCTGCTCATGCGTACATACTAAGAAATAAAGTTCATGTAAAATGAACTTTGTTTGATTTCTGAAATCTTGGCTTTTGGGTATGGTCTGGAAGAGAGAAATTTCCTCCTACATGTGTTATTTTTCAAATATTTGTGGTAACTGATAAGTAGGATTGCTTGTAATCAAAATGGCATTAAGTGTTTCACATTTCTTTCTCCTGGGGTTATTGTTAGGACTACATATTTTGGTTAAAAAATCTGGATGAACACTAGATAGAGTAAGTACTGTATGGTACAGAAGAATAAACTCTACTGTCCTTATTTGACTAGATTTTTGCTGCCAAGTTTTGGTTGACACCTAGTTGTGGTGACAAGTTGGCAGAAGCAGGGGGGGTAAAACATAAGGAGTTTAATAAGCTGACAACCTCTTAACAAGTTTTGCATTAAGCTTGTTTCTATGGGAGAGAGCTGACCGTAGAACAGATGGTACAGCTTTAGTTCCTTTCTCCAAATAGTCAAATCTCCATCACAACATCCTTTCTCCTTCTTGAATCAAGTTTTTTAAGTTTTTCATTGATGTTTGCAACATGTTTATTAAGGACGGAATTTCAAGAGGACCCAGCAGATGGCAGCACGTAATTGTCTGAAGGAGATGGGCGGTTCAAAAAATGTGAAAAATAAGTAATACTTGAATGCGGTTTAGAGTTCGAAGTTCAGAATTGTAGGCGAGACTAGAATTCAAAAACTTCTCAGAAGAGGTTCTTGGGAAACCACTTCCGTGAGTTGCAAAGAAAACTGCAGAGAGCATGCAGTCTATGTTAGTAAATCGGCAGGAGTTAAACTCGAGTCGATGACTTTATTAGTATTGTTTAACGGGCATGTAATTTTTCAGCACAGGAGAAAATACTTTTTAACCTCCACAGCTTTTTATAGACAATTAGACTGGTTCTGAATGAAAACTATTTTCATTCTGTTTGAAAAGCATGGCTCAATTTCGAACCCTGCCTAAGGAGATAAATTGCCACATCTCCCAACCTTCTATTTTTCCACTACGGTTGTATACCGTTTAGCTCAACGCAGAACCGGCACAATTAGCGAGAAGCCAATTGAACAAGTAAGCAGGTCGAACTTTTAATTGCAAAGGAAACAAGCCGATCCGGATCTCCCACGTCTGCGAGTTGAACTGCTGCATTGCTTTCCACCCGAGAACGCGGAGGTTTACACATTCGAATCCCATGCAGGAATTAAACCAATGAGACCAAGTTATCCGTTTTTACTACAATACTCAGGGGGAAAAAATCCCACCAGCAAGTCAACGATTTAAAAAAGCGCAATACAATAAATCTCTTTGTGGTTAAACTGATTAAAGGAAAAGCGCCCAAGAAAACCATGCGCCTTACGAATTTTAGCAATGTGATCCGGATGCGGAAATCCAGAATTGGAAGCCGGACTTTAATCTGACTTGTATTTGGTTGGAAGGCTAAGCTATTGCTCCGCCGAAAGCCGGAGGTGCAAACGAAAGGGCAAGGAGGCTTCGCCGCGGCTTCTGCGCATGACAGGAAATGCGGCTCGTTTGGCAGAACAGCGGCCTCTGCTTTCCTTTTCCGGAAACTTTCCGAAACCCCGGAACCTGGATAGAAGACAACGAAGAGCCGAAGAAGGCGGCCTTTAGAAGGTGGCATACAGGCTGCGGGGCCGGGAGCTGTAGAGAGGCCCGGTGCATGGCGGTCAGGCGGCGGACTCGGCCCTCCACAGGTCGGTGCCGATAGGGAGGCGGGGATGAGGAAAGATGCACAGCCCTGGCTATTGGGGAGGGGGTTGTTGGTGGATTCCTTTTCCCTTCTCCTCCGCCTTTTTGAATCCGTTCTTCTTTTTGAATTTTGGAAGAGGAAGAAAAGAGATCCTCTTTAGGAGCGCGGGTGCTTTGCGCTGCGCGACCTTTCACTTTGAGATCCTATCTTGGGGTTTGTTTGGGTTTTTTTTCCCCCCACTTGCGTTTCAAAGCCCTGCCAAGTCCGGTTTCCAGAGCTTGTAATCGGCGTGCACAAATCGGAGTGGAATTGCCTTGAGTGGGAGGGAAAGCTGCATCTGTTGTGTTTTTGCCTGCGGGAGTAGAGCCGGTGGTTGCCAGAGTTGCCAGTTTTTTGCCTGGTCGGTCAGTGCCTTCTTAGCCTGTCACCTCGAGCAGAAATGCAGTGGCCTAAATCCTTCGACATCAATGCCCTTCTTTCTCAAAATCTTGAGAAAAGATTTTACTGCTTGAATCCGTCCAGTCAACCAGAAGAAAACAGTTCTTCACGGAATCCTCTTAAAACTTGTCCAGCAGAGGAAAGTTTTTGGTAGAAACTGTCTGATAGCATCACTTAAGGAAAGCACCTTACATGCTTCTCGGTTCAAATATTAAATCTGGGTTCACACTGAACATGCAAGACAAAATGTAGCTGTTGGTGGTAGGTAGTGTGCTTTGCAACTTAATGGGTGAATCTACTCAACCATGGTTAAGGAATGTGTGACTTAATTTCAGGGCTTCCCAAATATTTTCCTTCCTTACCCAAAATCACTTATCCGAAAGCTAATGTAAATAAAATAAGGTCAAATGTTCCTGTTGTGATTGGGTAGCGACACACAAACTCATTGACCAAAGAAAAAACACTTTTACTCAATTTTGGATAATTTTCATAGGTTTGGAAAGCACTAGTTTAGGTTTTGTGTGAACATTACCAAACTCTTCCACCTTGGGTTAGGTTTTCAGGGCTATTTTTGGTATATACTTAAAGCTAATAGCCACAGGATGGTGTGCTCCAAATTCCTGTTAATTATTCAGAAATTTCCTTTACATAAATAGTTCTCTCCAAATTCATCTGGTTCCATTTTTTTCTCTTACAGGTCTTATTTTAAAAATGAAAACTTGGATTATTTCTAATGTTTTTGATTTTTATTGCATTTTTAAATTAGAAAGTAAAGATGAAATGATATATTTTAAAAGGCACAAAGCTATTGTAGTTGTTCAAACAGAACATGAGAAAAAAAGAATTGATTCCTACATTTAGAGAATTCACTTTTGTATGTGAAAATGAGAAGGATGGCACCTCAGTGATAGATCATATACTTTGAGAGCAGAATTCCTTCCCCACTTTGGGTAAACTGAAAATGTTATCTGAAAGCCTGCTGAGACTCAACCACCCTGCATAGGCAAAAGTGAGCTAAATGGACAAAATGTAACATAATTGCTAAAAATTACAATGTTATTATTTCTCCCCCTTTTTTTTCAAGGAAACCTGCTTTCTACAATACTAGAAAAATTGTGGAATATGAAAGCCCAACATATAATGCAGGTTTCTTCTAAAAATGGCACAGTTTATATGCTTTGGTTTGCCAATCTATTTCTTGAAGCTAAGTGCTTCAAATAATTCATCCAAAGATATTTGATCCCCCAGCCTTCTTACAGAATATCAATTACCCTTAATTTCAATCTTAATAGTATCTGTAGAATTCATCTATGAGCTTATTCTTCTGCATAAATCCAGAGCTTTAGTTCTCTAATTTTATGAAATGTCTGGCATATTTGCCCCAATAACTCTTCATCACGTGATAGATTTAGGGAGTGACAACACTAATTGTTCTTCTTTTACTTACACAGTACCTCTTCTTGTATATTTATTACTTTTCTTGCTGTGCTCATTAAATTCTTCCTCTGTGCTATGGTATGTGATTTATTTAATTGTTGCATGAAGAAGATTAATTTTTTCGTATCTCCATTTCAGTTGACAAGAGCTGGAAAAAATCTTGCTGAAAACCTGGGCAGCTATCACCTCACAGGGTGCTTGTTGTGGGGAAAATAAGAGGAAAATAAGAGTAGTATTAGGTATGCTCATCACCTTGAGTTATTCATAAAGTAATAAAGTATTACTTTATTAATAAATTAATAAAGATGGGATAAGAATCTAATAAATATCAGAATGTAAGCAGAGATAAAATAGAAAAGTTGGATCCAAATTTTCTGATTTCTAAAACTTCCCACCTCCACCTCATCCCATTCTAGAATATTTTACATAAAATGTTCATTTGTATGTTGGAAGAAGATAATACCACGCCACTTCTATTTTGGAAACCTGGGACTGGCAATACTTCTCTACTATTTTTGTTAACCAAATATGCATACCTGCCATTGTGTTATTAAACGTAATGAAAGGCAGTCATAAACTTGATTTTGAAACTAAAGAAAAAAAATTCTGTTTACATCACTCGAATAGATTGCGAAGAGGCTTACTTGATAGTTTGGAGAAAACAAGACTGAAGGGAAATAAATATGAAATCACTTTTCATATTCCTGGAGCAACATCATGTGCAAAAAAGGCCTGTCTATCCAGAAAACAAAGCAAAAGTATTAAGTAACAGGAAATAAGATTCCAGATGAATTCCCAGTGTAGTTTAACAGTAGAACCAACTATCAATGGAAAGTGTAAAATCTTTGCTGGATGTGTTTAATAGAGTCCAGATAGCCATTACTTAAGGATGTTTCAATTTAGGCTTGTTGGTCTAATTGGCTTTTTCCAAGTTTACCTTTCTATGACAAAGATACTTTCTATAAAAATTATTCAGACTCTGAATTTTTCTCTCTGCAGGTTTAAAAAGAAGTACAGGTAGTCCTCGACTTACAACAGTTCATTTAGTGATTGTTCAAAGTTACAACAGCACTGAAAAAAGTGAGTTATGACCATTTTTCATACATACGACCATTATAGCATCCCCATGGTCACATGATCAAAATCCAGATGCTTGGCAGGTAGTTCATATTATGGTTGCAGTGTGCCAGGGTCACATGGTTACCTTTTGTAACCTTCTGACAAAGTCAATGGAGAATCCAGATTGACTTAACAGCCATGTTATTGATTTAATAAATGCAATAACTCACTTAACTGTGGTAGGAAAAGTTATAAAAATCATATAAATAAAATAAAATTATAAAAGTTATAAAACTCACCAAATGTTTCATTAAGCAATGTAAGTTTTGCGCTCAGTTGTGATCGTAACTTGAGGACTATCTGTAAAGCATAGGCTTAGGACAAGCTACCTTTATGCCTGGGATGCTTAATATTCAGCTTGGTGATCTGTGAAAGTTCTTTACTTGTTATAAAGTATGAAACCCCTGATTGGCCATGTAAGGTAAGGTATCTTTACTTTTCTCATCTTGTTTTTTTTCAAATATGTTGTATCTCAGGGAAATCTGCCTAACAGAGAAAAGATTCTGGTTCCAGTTACATCTACATTTATTTTAATTTACTTTTTAAATCCCTACTTACCACTAAAAGTTATATATGGTACTTACTATTCTAGTAAGAGTAGTTCTGTGCAATAAAAGAAGACTCATCTTCTCCAGTATCTAACGTTGGCTGCCAGTGTATTCTGAGGAATACAACAGTGGGGCAAAAAGACAACAGTTCTTTTGTTGTTGTTGTTTGTTGCATAGCAAAGGTGCATTGCTGTTTCCATTTGATTGGTCTTGTTAATCCTTTCTAATGACTTTCGCCCAAGTTTATACTTATGCTTAACAGTAAGTGGGAACAAGAAATGCGCACACAAATATGTATACCTTTTCATTTTTATTATAGCTGTATCAGTGGGAACAACTTTCAGTGTTGAATACATGACTAAGGAGCTGCTACCAGAACAAAATGGAGAGCTTGAGTCTACAGGCGATGACCCTTTCTGATGGGACAACAGCTTATGTTCAGCAGGATGCAGGTGGTGAGTCAGTTGAAGGCTGTGACAGCTGTGGTCAGTGAGACTGGAACAAAGCAGAAACCCTAGGATCTAAGCCCGTGATGGCGAACCTATTGCACGCGTGGCCAAAGTGGCATGCAAAAGCCATTTTGCCCGGCACGCACTACCTTGCCTGTTTGTCTTCCAGATTTCTGGCATGCATGCGCATGTGACAATTAGCTGTCTGTGCGCGCAGCAGTGCCAAAAACCAGTGCACGCATGCGCGCCGGCCAGCTGATCATCAGGCACGCATGTACGCTAGGACCCGGAAGTTCAACTTTTCCGGAGCGCAGCCGCAATGAGGGCACGTGTGCGCACGTGACATTTTTTGAGTGACCTTTTCGGCACTCGGTGCTGAAAAGGTTTGCCATCACTGATCTAAGCATTACACACAAGGGAGAGTGAAAGGCAATGTAACTTGGATAAATATTTCATTAAATATATGTGCTTTATGTGTATTAAATTTTAATAGTACAGGTAGTCCTCAACCTTCAAACATAATGGAACCTGCCTATTATAATCCTAAGTGATGACGGCCATTAACCAAGATAGCCTCTCTTAACAACCCCCACTCCTGCTCTCCCTATGCACTAGCCATATAAGCACATGGGTCATTAAGTGGACCACAGGGTGCCTCAGGGCTGGAAAGAGGCCTAACAGAATCCCAGGACTACCAGGCCCAGGCCTCTCCCACCTCCTGTGTTCCAGTTCCTATCCTGAGGGTTCTCCACAGCCCTTGGGCCTCCTTCCTCTCCCCTGGGTCCCTGCAGGGCTCGGGCTTCCTCCCCATCCCCTAATAAATAAGAAATTTTCTAACATGCTTTTCAATCTACCATGGAAAAAATTAATTTCACTCCTGTGTTTAAACTATTATAAGTTTTAATAACTGATTGCAAATGTACCTGGCACAAGAGTACATTTTTATATATTTTAAGTGGTATCAGGGTCTTCTTTACCTACTTCCTTATATGGAAAAATATTATATTTATTGATAAAGATAAATGCAGAAAGCAAGAATTCTACTAATGCTGCCTCTGAATTTAGTATCCTGGATCCCATATGTAAATAATGATAATATGTTTCAGAAGAAATAATTCTAACATATAATGTATAAGATTCTAGTTCATGTTCCTTAATAAGAAATTTTAATGGCTATGTAGCAGAAAAATTTAATCTTGCTTCCTAGAAAATTGACAAGTGTTACAAAATTCTTGTTTCAGAAGAGAAATTAGTTGACGGACAAGTGATTGAACTTGAAGATGGATCTACAGCTTTTTTCCAAGAAGTAACACTGCAGAAAGGTGAAGTAAAATTGCTGATGTACCTCTTGTCTCTTTAAAGTAATATGAGGAACTTGTGGCCTTCCTAAAGTTGTTATACTAGGATTGCTGGAAATTGTAATTCAGTATCATCAGGAATCCCACAGGTGTCTCGTCCCTGCTTTAAGTTCCAGTCTGGCTCTTACCAGCACCTTTTAAAACAGTAGCAGAACCAATACTGTAGGTTTTCAAACTGAGCAAATTTGAGGGAGTTTGGAAATTAAGATGGGCATGGAATGCAGCATCTCTAGAATGCAGCGCAGTAAAAGTAACATAATTGCTCAACTACTCCCACCAACCATCAATATCGGTATTCCTTACGGGCGGTTTGTCACACTGATTTATTGTTTTAGAAGATCTCATTTTATCTTTTTAGAAATTTGTATTTAAACAAAACAAAAGGTAGCAGGCTACAAGGAAAACACCAGCATTGACTTTATTTCTAAGAAACAAAAGTGAATATTAAAGCATTCTTAGGAGATAGAAGTGGTGAGTGGGTACAACTGTGTATGTATATGCTTAGGAAAAAAGAGACAATGATAGGCAGACACATGGGGAGTAATTTAGAGACCTAACAGGAATGGTGAGGAAGAGGTTCATCAGTTTGTGCTTTAAGTGGCTAGCCATGCCCTCCATGGCAACTATTTAATGAAAATGCTATTAGTTTCAAAATTCTAGATGTGTCTCCTAGCTAAAGTGGCTACAGATACCAGTTATGCTCTCTGCATATCTACCTACCTACCTATCTATCTTTCATGTTTCTAGACTGTTCATCTCCCTCGAGGGGTTCTGGGAGGTGTAATATAGTTGCTTTATATGTATTTAGAATTGGCATCTAATGCTGTAGAGGTATACAGGTAGTCTTCAGTTAATGATAGAAATTGGGATCAGAATTTCTATTGCTAAGAGATGCAGTTGTAAAGCATGATGCTATATGGCTTCATCGCTTAGTGATAGCACTCCCAACACACCATGTTGCTATAATTAAACAAGAATCTTGGATTGTTAAGGGAGTCCCAGATGGCTTGCAAGCGGGCAGGTAAGGGGCAGTGCAGGTGTGGTAGGGGTGGGGATGGCTTCTAGATGTGGGAAGGTGCAAACAAATTACTAGAGTAGCTTGCTGACTTCCTTGCCAACCTCCCACTTCCCCCCTTGTGAAAGCTGGAAGGGAAGGTTGCAGATAGCAGTCATGTGACTTTGGGATGCTGCAACCGTTATAAGTGCGAGCCAGTTACCAAATGCCCAGATTGCCATCACAAAATTGTGGGGGCATTGGGACAGGCAGAACTTTGAGGACCAGACATAAGTAGATGGCGTTCAGTGCTGTTGTAACTTTCAACAGTCGCTGAACGATTGGTTGTTAAATAAGGAGTACCTATATAGTGTAGGAATTAAAAAGTAATGTACTTGTGACTGCCAGGATGGGGGTAGGGTAGTTTAAAAATCACCTGGAAAAGTGGCTTCTGATTACAAACAGAGGAGTCTTTTTGAATGTCCTCTTTGCACTAAAAAGAATAAACAATGCCTTGCACTTGCTGGTGCTTTTGTTTCTACATCTAAACAAATTTAGAGTCAGAGTCAGAGTCAGAGAATAATTTTCACTCAGTTCATTTAATTCAGTGTTAGAATGACTATGTTGCACTTCTCCATTCATATTATTATTAAAATATTTTTTTAAATATACCTAGGGCTGAATTGACTAAGAGGGTATACTTCAAAACAAAAGAAGTGAACAGTGATGGGGATTCTTAATCTTGTTAAGTTTTGCTTGTGTTGTGTTGCATGAAAAAACTGGGCAAGTTGATTTCTTTGAGATCACTTATGTGCCTGTATATATTCGGATTCAATCTATAGAATCGATCACATTTGAAGATGGTCAGCCTGTTGCACTGGAAGATGGAACCATGGCTTTTATACATCACACTCCCAAAGGTAGCTCTTAATCTTTGACACTTGTTTTCAAAAAATTATCCATAAAAAGCAGAAGGATTATAGATGTCATTGTATGTTGCTTTTTCAAAAAAAAAAAAAGACACACTCCTGGATAAAACATTTATTTGTGTTGGTTACTTTTGTTCTAGATCTTCTGGGTAGCCTACACCAGTAATAAGATGTTTTATCTTGTATTGCACTCTCTTCTTCTCGCAGAATTTTTTCTTGATCGCTGACAAAACCACAATTTGGTTGGTAAGTTATAGGTAAACCATGATTTGAATTAACCAGGAAGTTGAGAGATGAAAGGGAGAGTGCATGGCCTCTTTATTTGTTTTGGTTCTGTGGTTTGGAAGATTGGGAATATGGAATATGGTGTCATTTTTTCCTAATCCATTTTTTACAGCCATAAATGATAAAGTACTCATCTATTGAAAAAAAACCCGGTACTATTCTTCAGTTGCTTCTCAACCAAATCACGAATGGATAGAATAGTTCCAGATGGTCTGTTCCATCAAAGCAACACGGTTTTTTGATTCCATCCATCTTTGATTGTGAATTGCAAGATCTTTTGCTATGTAACATTTGAGTTCTAAAGTATAGATTTTACTATTGATGGCCTTAACCCTTAGATTTTATTAGCTGTAAATGATCAAGGGACAAATATGTAGTGATTAGAGCTGACCTGTGATATTACAGTGTTTGTGGTCCACTTCAGAGGGTTTTGACCCCAACACCTTGGAGGCCATCCAGCTGGAAGATGGATCCACAGCTTTCATACACCGTCCTGTTCCCACAACAATGGATGGCACCATCCTGGCAGTGCAAGAAGATGTGGGGCTGGAGGAATTGGCAGTAGGGAAGAAAGATGATGCTTTTGATTTAGATACTGGTACCACTCTGAAGGATTACGCCAGCAAGGTGAGAATATTCTGCTTTTCTATGAAGATTTTAAAGCATAACATGATTCAGAGAATTACATTTTTTAGGTGTCTACAGCATGGTCCACCACTACAAAAAAAAAACCTGTTGTGAGCTGTAAGGATAAACTCTGCCATCTGAAGTCAGGACTTTGATAGCTAATTAGAACAATATGTGTTTGTACTGATGAGAACTTTGTGCATGTATCTGTATATATATTGACTGCTTTGCTAACTTGTACAATTGGATGCTCAAGTGCCAGTTCAGCTATGATATTATAGGTACCATTTGGATGGGAAAGACTTTATCTCATCATCTACTGCTATGAATTCAGTGTTTTGTTGTAAAATCAGAAAGAGATATGCAAAAACTTTAAATATGAAATGAAATGAAATGGCATAGGTACAATAGCCTCGTAAACACATATAATAAACAAAGAAGCTTATTTATTGTACATATTGACTTGCAATTCAACAGATACTATTTATCTTTTCAAGGCATAGTGTCAATGTGTAGCCGCATATTGTGACAGTGTGTAGTGCACACAGGTCTTCTGGGCATTTACTTGATATTTTTTTCTCAACCAGAGGCTACCCTTCAATCTTTTAGGTCCATTTAGGAGACTGTCTAAAGAGTGCTCCCATAATTAGGGGGAGAAATGAGGATTTATTTATAAAATTTTAACTCAACATTACTGATAATATCTAAGTTCTCCTCCCCCAAATCTTTACATCTGTAAGTGGCATCATTTAGAACCAGATTGCCTATTATTATTTTGCTTTTATGCTTTTTAAAAATTATCTTTATTTTAATTTTTCTATTCACTGTTTTTAAGTATTGTTGACTTTATTGTGATTATTTCATTTAATTCTTCACATTTCCTTTTGAAGTCATACTGGATTTATGTGAGAGAAAAATAGAATAAAAATCTAATAAAATTAAAGGAAATCTTTCTGAAAGTGGAAAACCATTTATTTCCTTATGTTGGAACATGTTCAAAGCAATAACAGCTTAATATTACGACATGCAGTTGCCTGTTAGCATTGCCAAATATGTAGTGTATATATTGTTATTCTAAGACAGGGTTTCCCAGCCTGACCAACTTCCAGTTGTATGGAATTTAATTCTAGTGTTGCTTAGCCAGTACAGCTTTTTTTTGAAAATTCACAAAAATGAAGTCTGCCAATATGGAAATTTCCCAGGATACATGGTTATAGAATGCAAGATGATGGTAGAAATTGTTATGACACTGATTTTAGAGAGGTGAGTTATTAGTGATATGGGTTGGAGAACTAAGCCTGAGAGAGAAGGACTCCATAAAATGGCCTGATAAATTGATGAGACTGGCAAACTACGAGCCACAGACTTTGCAACAGGCAGTTTAATTCTTTAATCATTGTGTGACACTTTTCAGGCTTTCTGGCTCAACTTCAGCAAAAGCTCCCTAGCATGCCTAGATAAGAATCGTTATCATATACAGGTAATCCTTGATTTACAACAGTCCGTTTACTGACCATTCAAAGTTACAACAGCACTGAAAAATGTGACTTGTGACCGTTTTCACAGTTAGGACCTTTATGGCATCCCCATGATCATGTGATCAAAATTCAGATGCTTGGCAACTGGTTCATACTTAAAACCATTGCTGTGTCCCAAGGTTGTAAAATGAGGCAAAATTCAGTTAACAAATGTCTCACTTAATGACAGAAATTTTGAGTTCAATTGTGGTTGTAAGTTGAGGAGTACCTGTACAAGATGTACACTTTATCTGTACATGTTATCCCTTTATTTAAACCTAGACTTTTTATTTTAACCTAAACCCTCACTTCCCTGCATTATATTTATTTATTCAGTTTCTATATCTGTCCAACTCAACCAAATGATTCTTCCATTCCAACTCCATTCCAGAAGTTCAGAAGACAACCTTCATTCAAAACTGTTATGCCCTTCCCCCTTTTCTTATTTTTACAGAAATAGAACTCTTTCTTCTTGTATTCATTAATTTATGCTTTATACCATTTGCTCCTCTTGTATTTTAAGTTACAGTCTTTCATCTGCTCTGGCCATCACCAGATTGGCCCATAGATATTGATTAGGTTATCCAGATCTAAAGCAATAAAGGTACTTTGGAGCATGTTAGCTATAATGTCTCCTTAGAAGAGGGTCTTACGACAGTCATTTAGTCCCAGGAAATCACACATTTGAGTTAAAGAACTGTAGTACCCCAACACAACCTGCTTAATGTCAACTTCTTAACGATAACTACTCATATCATCATGGTGTTGGACAGTCAAAGTCTTCTTGCAACATTTTTTATCAAAATAGAGAAGATGTGCATTAGCTTACTAACCTTGGTCATACCATACCTATGCCATATGCAATTCCCTGCTAATGGAAAGAATATTTCCATTTTTAGTATCTTTATGCAGTGTGCGAGCAATACAAAGCTCAATTTGACCGAAAGCATTTTCATTCTATTATATATTTCGTTCTATATAATTCACGCCCTCTAGTCAGAGTGGCAAACACAATACAATCTATTGTGTTCGGAAAAAATCACAAGATAAATAATAGTCTTCATCAAGAGTGAGTTGAAGAACATCCCAAACTGAATATCCTCCCCTTCAGAAAATGTATGATTCCATCAAAAGTCAGACAGGCAATAACATTTGGCTCAGCTTTATGCATTATTCACAACATGTTTCTTTTATCTTAATTTTGATTATCAGCCTGCTTAGAAAATTGTGTACAGTACACCGGTTAGCTGATTATTGAGCAAGAATTTGGGGAGCTATATTCCCCAAAGATATTAATAAAGGTATTAATAAATATTGTGTATAACAATAGTATAATGAATATTATTGAATATTGTACATAACATGCACTAATACTGAACTATAAGTGCAGTTTGCTTTTAGAGAATCTACAAAATTACTCATGATTTGACATGATGTGCAGATCAAGCCACTACAGCTTGAACAACCAATTATAGTTTAAAATCTTGGGTTACAATTATGTGTGAACGCAGCTTCCCAATTATAAAATAGCATAGAGAAAGACCTACCTCAAGGCAAAGATGGAAGATAACTTTGTACACACACATTCTCATTAGAATAAAAAATAAGTATGAAATTCTTATTTCTTCTTGCCTTTCTACAAAAATGGCTTAAAATAAAATTTTAAAATCCAGGTCTACCTACTTTAGACATTGCAAGCATCATTCGGGTTTTGATTTTTTTTCCCCTTTCTTAGCAAGACTTCCAGAAGGAAGAAGTGCAGAGCACTGGAAATGGACCAAGAACTCCTGACAAAGCTTATTGTTGTAGACATAGTGGGTGTAGTCGCCTCTTTACTACATCCCACCATTTGAAGGTAATAGTTCTTTGTCTCCCCACAATTCACCCGAAATACATTATGGCACTACTAGAGAAACTTATCTAACAGGAAATCATGAACGTCATCACATAAGCCTGCAGTTTATCTGATAATGTTGAGGGGAGAGACAGGAAATAAGTGGTTGAAGACAGCTATAAACTTTTGCTAAAGGCTTGCTCTTAGTTTACTTAGTAGAATACATTTGATGTAAAGCATCAGTAGGATTACAAGTTATTCGTCCACTTTCTACATTAATTTTACTTGAAAATACTTAGCCTTTCAATGTATTTATTGAATTTATTTTTTATAATTCAAGGTTGTGTACTTAATGCTCTCTGCTATTTTTCTCACAATAACCTTGTGGGGTGGGCTGGGCTAAGAGAGAATGATTGGCCCAAAGTCACCTAGCCAGCTTCAATATCCAAAGGAGGACTAAAACTCATGGTCTCCTAGTTCCTTTCCAGCACCATAACCACTGCATCAGGTGGTCTCAAACTGGTTTTTTTTAATGTATTTCAATATTTGTAATTTTAAAAATAAATGTAAACCTTGCTAATTGAGCTCTGTCCTTGCTTTATAATACCTAGTTGAACAAAACTATTTTCAGAACATTTTACAATATTTAAAGCCAGTTTGATGTAGTGGTTTTACATGTAAAGCCAGTTGGATCTTGAGTTCTAGTCCCACCTTAGACACAAAACCAACTGGGTGACCTGAGCCAATCACTTTCTCTCAGCCCTGGGAAGGAGGCAATGGCAAACCATTTCTGAAAAAGTACTTTCTTATCTTCTTACTAAGAAAACTGCAGGAACTTGTCCAGACAGTTGCTGAAAATCAGAGACGATTGAAAGAAAAAAAAATACAACTTTATATTATGTGCAAATGCTCCTTGGATTTTGAAAACATTACATTTTATGTAATACTATATTCTACTCTCATTTCAGACTGACTGAAATAGAAATTAGCAAGCGGGGTTGAATTTAATGGAATTGATTTAAACTAGCAAATATTAAAATACACATATCTTATGTATTTATTTATAGTATGGACTCCTTAAATCCTTCCCATCCATGTTGAAACTTTAAAAGTAGAAATTCGTTGTTGCAAGGAAAACCAAAAAGTCAAACACCATAACAGAATAGAACTGAAGAACTACTTCTGATAGCACTATATGAGTGCCAGCCTCTTCTGTTCTCACTGGCCTAAGACTAGGCTTTTTCCTTTGTTTTGCTGAAGGTTCATGAGCGTGTCCATACAGGCGATCGTCCATACCAGTGTGATTTTGAAAGCTGTGGGAAAACTTTTGCTACAGGTAAGGTATTTACTGTGAAACCTTTAGAAAATCAACATTGAAATTGTGTTGCTCTGATAGAATTACTCATGACTGAGAATGAAGATATACTTTAGAAATCCACAGTTCATTGAACTATAAAGAGTCATGAAAAAAGTATAAATTCAAGCTAAAGCTGTAGCTCTGATTATCTTTATCTTCAGAGCTGCATAGTTACAGTTTTAGGTTGCTATGCTTTGGGCACTGCTTTGTGATTGTGCTTAGAACACAAGTTTTACCCTGACAGGATACAGTCTAAAGAGCCATATGAGAACCCACACTGGTGAGAAGCCATACAAGTGCCAAGAAGATTTATGCACCAAAGCCTTCAAGACTTCTGGAGATCTCCAGAAACATATCCGAACACATACTGGTATGTCCTGTGGGCATTATTGTTTTAATTTAGGGTTAGCAGAATCTGAAGTTTTGGAAGAACATAAACGACGCTATAAAAATGTACAAATAAAGGAGCTGTATTATTACTGATGATGTTATTTACTTTAATTCTTTAAATCTTACATTTTTTCAAAGTATATACTTACAATGTTCCCTGCCCTCTTGCATCTCAGCTGATTCCCAGATTTAAAGTAAATGTGTGAGGGGGGGAAAACTTAGAACTTAGGATGAGGCAGATGGAGAGATGGTAGTGGCACTGGGGCTTGTCTTTAGTAAGTAATTGAAGAGGGAGGATATGGGGGCTAATCTTCCCACCAGTCTGCTCTGGCTGTAGGCTGTGCACCAATGTTCTACATCATTCATTCATTCATTTACTACAATTTCTATGCAGTTTCACTTCCAGAAATTCTGAGTGAATGGCTGATCCCAAACAAGGTGGCACTTAGAATAGAAAATGTAAAAAAATCTCTGTGAACATGTCAGTAGTTTCTAAATATGGCCCCACTAATCACATTCATTCTGTAAAATAAGACACCGATGGTCAAATGTTCTTCGACCTTGGTGGTTAGCGTAACTAGTGAGGCACTGTTTGAGTTATAGTTTTCTAAGAATAATACTTTGACAGTCTAAATTGTTCAGCTAATGTAGGTTCATGTGCATTTTAATATTTGGCTGTGCAAAACTAAACTAAAAATATAGTAAGATCAAAGATGATTGCCAGACAAAAAGATATACCACTTATAGGTTAGTCCTCAACTTATAACCATTAGTTTATCAACCAAACAGTTATAGAGACACTGAAAAAAATAACTTATGATCAGTCTTTGCACTTATAACTGTCATAGCATCTCCACAGTCACATGATCAAAATTTGGGTGGTTGGCAACCAACATGCATTTACTATGGTTTGCAGCATGCTAGGTGATGTGGTTGCCATCTGTGAGGCTCACATCACTCAGCCATTTGTGACCTCAGCTGGATTCTGACAAGGAAAGTCAATGGGGGAAGCTGGAGTCACCTAACAGCTGCGGCAAAAAAGGTCCATAAAATTGAATGTGACTCACTTAAAAAGTACCTTATTTAGGAACAAATTCTGGTCCCAATAGTGGTTTTAAGCCAAGGACTAACTAGTATGTTATGCTTGAAAGAGGAAATAAAATAATCTTATCTTGAATTTTCTATGGCTTTTAATGATTAACTAAGGATTCTTCTATCTGGTTTCCCCATCAAGGTGAGCGGCCTTTCCGGTGCCCTTTTGAAGGCTGTGGACGCTCTTTCACCACCTCCAATATACGCAAGGTCCATATACGAACACACACAGGAGAGCGACCTTATATGTGCTCAGAGCCCAACTGTGGAAGGGGTTTCACTAGTGCCACCAACTACAAAAATCACATGAGAATCCATACAGGTAAACTTTAAACTCTCTTGATTTTTGTCTACTTTACTTGTGGGTTTGTTTGGGTTTTTTTTTTTGGCTGGTTATGCTTTTGAACTGTGTTAGTTACATATTGTTTTCTTTGTTATATTGTGAGCCACTCAGTTATTTGCAGTTGGGTAGGGTCAGCCAACATAAATCGCTCCAAGGACTCATTTATAGATTCAGCACATAAAGAATGATGCTGTTCTTGTTCATCCTGTGAGATGACCACAAAAAACAATAGATTGTTAAGTTAATAAAGTACAGCTGTTGGAGATGGATCTGACTCTTTTTTCCTTGACCACTTAAAGCAGGGGTCTCCAACCTTGGCAACTTGGCAAAGCTGGCTAAGTAATTCTGGGAACTGAAGTCCAGAAGTCTTAAAGTTGCCAAGGTTGGAAACCCCTGGCTTAAAGTAAATATAGCTATATTGAAGTTCACAGGGTGAAGTGAAAGACTGGAAATCAAAACTTTCTCTCCTAAAGTGCTGCTGGACCTGATTCTTACTTTGAAATTACAACTTGATAATTTTTACTGCCAGTACCTTTGTTACTGAACACTTTATTCTAACCTCAGTGTGCAAGACAAGGCTCTTTCACTTTTCTACAGATTAAAAGATCAAAATGCAAAACTTTAAATAATTTCAACAATGCTGTAAGAAGATCACAAGGAAATTCAAAGGAGAAAAGGCTCTGAACAGAGCCTGAAGCATCAATAAAGGCTGAAAGCAAACCCCTAATTCTAAACTTACTGTATACAAAGATAAAGAAAATAAGACTTAGCACAGCACTGAAAAGTTAAGTCTGGAAGTTCGCTTAAACTCCTAGTTATGTGCTACATATTTCAGCAGGATTCCTGAAGCAAAGGTCCTCTGCTTCCTTTCCAGGAGTTCTCCAGCTGTTTGGTGATTTCAGATATTCTTCCGCAGCTGCAAGAAGTTATCGCTAGTCCCATCCTTTTCCCACTGACTTCTTCCTTTGTTCCTTAAAAAGCAAAATGTTTTCTAAATCTAGCCAGAAAATGGGCTAGAATAATCTGACTTGTATGTAACAAACAGCCATCTCTCACTAGTAGAGTTTGGATTATAAATCTGCAGTCTAGCATGTAGATTACATTCACAATAATCCTAAAATGCAATCTCGTGCATGTTTACTTGGAAAGCAATCCCATTATGTTAAATTGGTATTATTCCAGCAGTAACTTCAACCTTTAGGACATGAATCCATGAATAAAAAGTTAATTTTGCTGTGAATCCTAATTCTCTTCCAGGGGAGAAGCCATATGCATGCATGGTACCAGGCTGTGGAAAATGCTTCACAGAATATTCCAGTCTCTACAAACACCACGTAGTTCACACACATTGCAAACCATATACTTGCAACACCTGTGGCAAAACCTATCGGCAAACTTCTACTTTGGCAATGCATAAACGTACCGTGCATGGGGAACTGGAGGCCATGGATGACAGTGAGCAAGCTCTCTATGAACATCAGATGGAAGGTGAGTAAACAGATCAGTTACCTGATCTGTATTATACTTGTAATTCTCCAATTTGCTGGCATACAGCTTTGTTTTCACTTTGTGTTCAATTTTCTCTGCTACAAAGCCATTTGAAATGCTCTCTCTTAGTTGGCTTCTTCCACCAATTCTTCTTTCTTTGTTCTCTCAGATACCATAGTGAATAACAACAGGCCTCCATTGAAACGTCAATGTATTATTTCTATGAAGATGGAAGATGAAGTGCAGGAAGATTCCATGTCATCGGCAGCAGCTCTTGTTTCTCAGGATGGCGTAGAGCAAGTATGAAGGACAATGGGAGGAGGTATTCTTGGGCTAGGGGTATCTAAGGCGGATCAGTGGAAACAATTGCAATAGGGGATTATTCTCCCAGAATTTTCTAATTCTAAGTATTTCATCACTGTATCTGCCTACAACTAGCACATAACTTTTTATTAATCTTAGCTTTAGTAGCAGGCATGTTAAGGATTTTGTGGCATCTTAAAGGAAAGCTGAGAGGAAATGATTGGATTGCATTTTTAGTACAAATTAGAGGACTTGTTAAAACATTTCGATTTACCATGAACTAAAGCTATATTCTGGTACAAATGCTATGGCTGTGGTTATCACTGTTGGAACGGGGATACATCTTATATCTTGAAAATATTTTGCTTGGACATAGTATCAGAAAGAAATCTTTTAAATGTAGTTGCTATACCCGTGTGATGTTTTTCAGCTCAGAATAGTAACTTCTGGGACACCAGTATCTCAAGATTCATTCAAAGCCTGTCTATGATCAGCACTTGGCAGTGCTAGCAACAGCTAATGGTACTCATGTTGCTGTTCAGATAGACACATACTATTTGGAGTTTCTATCTCAATCATGGATAGTTTATCAAAAAACCTAAATGTAAAATAGTTACGCATTAAGTATTTTACTTAATACTGAAGTATTAACAACCATGACCTTTTAATAATGTATTGCTTTCATTATTAAGTCATAAGGTGACTTAGTATTAGCTGCCATCTAAAATAAAGATATAGCATGAATTACCCTAAAACTTCTATTAGGTAACAACATGTTTACATTTCCAGGCTCAACTAAGTTTATAAGTCAAGGAATACTTGCATATTCAGCTATATTTGATATTGCTTTTAATATGAGGCAGATCAAGTCCTGACAAATGTAAAAATATCCAAGCAGGAGGACACATTCCATCCACTGTGTCTCCCTAGTATTTCAAGGATAACATCTTTGTGTAAGAGGGCGCTCTCTGATTTTCCTTTTAGCATATGAAAAGCTTAATTTGGCTTGATAAATGCTTAATTTGGCTTGATAAAAGCAAACTGATAGTTCATTTAACTTTTTGAATAGAAAGCCACCTAAAAGGCATAATTATAATTAATTATTTGATAATTAGTACAATGATTTTGCTTCAGCTATTAATTCCTGCACAGAAATATTCTGTTATCTTCGCTTGGTGAGAAGTGAATCAACTTAATAACTATTTGAAGCAAACAGCATAGCGACAGATCTAGGTGGCAGATTTTTGGAGCTAGCAGCATACTCCAAAAGCTGTTAAAATGATTGCTTGAGAGTTTAAATATTTACAGAACTAGTCACACTTCTAAGAACATAATATTTAAGCCATAATATTATTGCAAATGAGGCTTTGGTTTTAAGGAGGCATTATCTGGTTTCAAAAAGGACTGCAGTATTAAGAAGATAGCATGGGATATTTAGAGGAGGTCTCAGGACTTTCATCTGTAAATTGGTTAGATCGCTGGAGTTTACCTGAATTCAGATTTTTAGTGGGACATGAGCCAGTGGTGCAATGCATCTGCTGAAAAGGCAAATGGCATTTTTGGGATGGATTATCAGGAGCACAGATTTCAAATCCTAGGAAATGATTATATTCCCCCTGCTCTGCGTTTGGAATTATGCATCTAGTTCTGGGCACAAGATATTGATCCACTGGTTCAAATTCAGAGGAAGTCTACCAAGATAACAAAGGAATTGGAATCCAAGTTCAGTGAGGAAGGTTTAAGGAATTGAGAATCTTTAACATGCAGAAGAAAAGACTTATGGGTCTTCAGATATTTATACTTCATAGCTTAGGAGGGCAGGACATCAAACAATAGATTAAAGCTTCAGAGAAGTAGATTCAGGTTAATATGAAGAATTTCCTGAAGATAAGACAGTGAACCAGTGGAGTAAGTTGCTAAGGGCATAAAGGTGGCTATAAGACCTCAGAGGTCCCTTCAAAATCAGGATTCTTTAAAATCTCCATATAGTAAAGTTCACTGGGTTGGGTTTACCCATATTCTAAACATGCTTGCCAACTGGTTCACACGTCATGTTAAGCCATGATACATTCAATAAATTACAGTTGGCTGGGTATATATAGTACATAGCCATTTTATCTGAGAATGATGAAACTGAGTTTCCATACACTAAAAGACATTAGAATGGGTAAATTGATTTGCATATAGGCATGCAAAATATTATTAAAACTGAATGATACATCTATATATTATGTTCCTCAAATATATCTTTTTATAGTATTTTCCCTCTCTGCACTTTTTACATTTCCACATAATTCAGTATGTTTTTTTCTTTGCTTCCTCCTTCCCTTACTTCTACTTCTGCATATAAGCGTTCCAATAATAACCAGCAGCTCTTGTCAGTTTAAACAATTTATATAAAGCAAAGCCAGTAACTGTTAATTTTACTACATTCAGTGTTTTTGCTTTAAAATAAATTTAGCGCACTTGGTCCTTTTTTGTCATATTCCTTTCTACCAAAACCAAGCTGCTTCCACATCCCTACTTTATCTTAGAGCCAGTTCACACCACAGACTAACACTAGGACAGGGTAGAAGCCTACAGCTAAATTCATCTTTTTGAAGAAAATGCCAGCTCATTTGAAAAGGCAAATGGTTCTTATTGCATTGCAGGACTGATGAAAAAAGGAGTCACTCACCACTCCCATCCTTCCTTTAAGATAGTTATTCTTCTAAAACAAAATAAATTGCAGCAACTATATTAGACAATCATTGCTATATGAAGGCGTTATTTGCTTCTGGTGTGTTTTGCCTCTTACCTTATGTATTATATAAATTCTTTGAGCAGATATATTTTACAAGAACCCGTCTGAGCAACACTTTTGAATGGTCTCATGCATTTATCTACTCACTACATACAATTCTATTAAATGGAATATATTTGAATATATAGATCTGAAAGTCACTTTTTGCTTCACCTGTTCATCATCTGGCCTTCTCAACCAAGCAACTCCCAGATGCAGTTTTTGAATACTAAAAAGTGCAAAGAGATAGTTGAAAGCATTATTGGCCCATATTTCACATTTTTCTGAGAGTAGTACAAGAGTGTTGTACAAATTACTTTGAAAATTGTGAGAGTTTTCAAAGCAAAAGTTACAGAATCAAATATCAGAAATCATTTTTCTTCCTTAACTCATTCCTGCTTGTATTCTTTATCACTCCTCCAACTGCCGGTTCAAACCAATTTGAATGTTTGAAAATCATGTGCTATCATTTTCTTTTCTAGTTGGAAATGCAACAGAGCCTGGAAAGTACAATCAACATGACAACTACAGTTCACCAAGAAGCTGCAACTTTGAAAACAGCTACATTGAAAAATGGATGTTGAGATTTTATCTTCAACACTTGAAGAAAGAGTGAAGAGCTACCTAGAAACAAAAGTCATTGGACAGACAACAGATTCTACAGGGGCCTGCAGTTCAGGAGTCAGATGACGGGGAACTAAATGCCCATTGGACCTGGAGAGAATTTTTAAGAATTGTTCACTGCTAGTCAGTAGATATTGATAACTGACAAGAACAGATGATAAAGCAACATTTTTGCCTGACACTTTTTAAACAAATGGATCTGTGATAAGCTTTAAGAAATCAACTCATCTGAGATAGGGTTTGTCTTATCATTTGGATCTTTTTCATTTCTGGTACATATTAATGAAATGACCACTTTTGGATTAGAAAATATTTAAAATTGAACTTTTATTGGATTTCAGCAACAAGAACTTTTATCATTTCAGAATGTTATAATGTATGTGTTTAGCGGTGAATGTCCAGAAAGGGATCACAGCTACTCCATATCCTAGAGCAGTGTTTCTCAATTCAGCAATTTTAAGATGGGTGGACTTCAACTCTCAGAATGCTAGGAGTTGAAGTCTACACATCTTAAAGTTGCCAAGGTTGAGAAACACTGTTCTAGAGAAGTATCAATATAAAAGCAATGAAGTGTCCTCTAGATAGGAATATCAATGGAAGTTCCAAGATATATGGCTATGGGGACAAGCAATAGCATTATGGAAGTTTTCCTTGCCCCCCCTACACCACCTAATATACCAGAGTTACCTCTAAATCTTAGCAAGAGTCTAAATTGACAGGTAAAAATCTACACTGAACTTGGAGGTATATTAAATTGGTTCTGTGTAATGTTTTATTTTCTTTTACCCTGAAGAGATAATAGAAGGTTTGGATATGTATTTAATAAAAAATTGAAATTGTTTTTCTATTTTCAATACTGGTAACAGCTTCAGCTTTACCATTCTATTCCTCTTTTAGTCCTATATAGTTAGTTTATTTGGAAAATTAAGTATATATTTTCCAGCCCCCAGGAGTCCTTAGAAGATCAGGAGGGGATTTTAAACTTGTTCCTACCACTAGTGATTAATATAAAAAAATATGTTTCCTTGTTGCTAATTAATAGTCAAGAAGCAGTAATTTTTTTATCAAGAATTGTGATGGTGGTAGAGAAAAGAGACTTTTCAGTATACATCCAATCCTAATGAAAATGGTCATTTCCCAAAGGTAATAAGTGTTGTTTGATTATCTATAAAAAGTAGTGAGGTTTTGTGGGCCACACAGAATCAGACTACAGATTGCCCACACGTTCCAGACAGGATATGGTATTCTGCCATCAAAATGCATGCTATATAATCGGAAAGAAGAAAACAGTTGTGTCCAGCTTGCTTGCTGGACATAGAAGATTGTTTTAAAAGCATCATCTACTACATTTGCAACTGATGATTTTTTGTATTACTGTCTGCTGTAATTCATGAAATAATATTGTACTGCTAAGTGTATGGACAATATCTCCTATTCTGCTGTTCAGTTACAAGCTTTGACATGTACAATGCGATTTGACTTTTCAGTAGGACCTCATCTACTTTAGGCTTGTATCCTTGGAAATATTCCACTACAATTTTGAAACTTTACTCAGCCATTGCCCCTTTCTTTTGTGTTTATACTTGATCCCAGCACTTAATTCCAAAACAATAATGTTACAGTATGTAGTTAAGCTGCAACACTGAAATAGAAATTGGCTTAAGAAAAATGAGTGTTCCTCTTTGTGCACTGATTCTGACAAATCAGAACTTTAATCTCTTTGAGAAGGAGGTCAAAGAATAAAGAGAATTAATGAAGCTGCTGCCAAATCTCAAATCTTATTTTTCTCTTTTCATTCTTTATTTTGGGTAGTAGTCATAACTATCTTTACAACTTTGGAGAAAAAAAATGATAGGTCCGAAATGTACACATTTTTCATTGTCTCCTGTACTTCTCACAATACCTTTCTTCTTTCCCTTTAAAGGAAAAGTGGAATAGGCACTACTACTAGAATTTTCAACACCAATTTGATTTTAAGAATTCCCAGATAAGCATTCTGCAATACAACCAGTAAATTTGGAAACTGGCACTTAGCTGCTGCAGGGTTAAGAATGGGGACCTATCCTAGGTGAAATGATGACCTATCCTAGGTGAAATGATGCAAAGCAACCAGTGAGGCAGGAACAAATTTGCCAGCAGTGGGCAGTTGATAAATGCTCAGCAACAGACAAATTAGCTGGGTTTTGTTTCTAATGTGAAAATATAAAGATGATCTTTATATATTTAACTGAGCAGTACATACCTATTAAAAACAAAGGCATGGAACTTATTAAAATGGTTAGAACATTCAATTGTGGATTATTTGGTAAATGAAAACCTTGTAGGCAAAATAATATGGTTGCATGAAGTAATATTTTAATCTCAAAAAGAATTAGCTTTTCTACACATATTTCTAGACCTGAAAATGAAAAGTACTTTGCAGGCTAAACTAGTAGTTAATTCTAGGAGATTATTAAAACTTCTTCAGCTTTCTTAGAGACTAAAGGCACAGACAATGTTGCAGTCATATTCAAAGCTAAACTGTAGCTTAAATCCACTGAATTCTTAGGTTGCTTTGCTCTGTCCATCTCTGCCTAGGGTTGGGGCTGTGTGACTCAACCTTAAACATAGTTTGCTGAAGTCCAAGACAATAGTATTTGCTAAGCATGAATTGAAATGGGATGCAAAGATTTAACTGGAATGCAATTTTTACACAACATTTTAGAATTGCAAACCAAATTGGAATTTTTGAAAGGTATATAATTTAGAAGATTTAGTTTTTCCCAATGTCTGATTTTTAAAAAAAATGAAAGTAGAATATACAGCCTGGACAGAAAAGCTGTATTTTATCCAACATGGTATCATATATTTCAAGGTGAAATGCAGAATATAATGCTAATCAATCTTCTCTGAACAGAAAGTTTGAAGGAATTCAATGGAGCTTACCTGTCTTTCCAAAAGTCCTGGTTCACCCTATACCTTAAACTGAATTTTTAGGAAAAGAGAATTTACCCCATTCATTTGAAGTCAATGATTTCATGTAGTTACAAATTTTGATGTGATTAGAACAAATTGGACTTGTTTTTTTCTTGCTATTCTGATTGCAGTGTGATTAAAATATTAGAAGTGTTATTTTCTTCTATAATTAATAACACTATTAAATATGAAAATATTACAAGCATAAGTGATAAATTTAGTAAAATGCGACTTAAGGAAAAATAGGCCATTGCTAATAAACATTCAGAAAAAACTTGCAATTTTGGGAAAAATAGACTTACTTTAATAATGTAATTGAGACATTATCTAGAGGTTTTCTCCCAGCCTGACAAATCATGTTTTGCTGCAGTTACTGATTCAAATAAAAAATATTGTAAATATATTATATGGTGGGAACGCCTTTAAAAGGATTTGTAAGCTCTACCATTAAATAGTTGAGCATACTAAGCATATGGATTTTTAATGTAAATAAATCCTAGCAGTGTGTTTAACAGGATTTACTCCCAATGATTAAGAAGGGTCTATGACAATTTGCCATGGTGAACTCATCACGATAACTTGCCATAATCAACTTGCTGCAACTCACTGCGACCCAAGAGTTACACTAATATCAAAGAAATAGTGGAATAGAATCATTAAAGAAAGGATGCAAAAGGAGAAACAATGAAATATGAGCGGCAAAAATTAAAATATTTTTATTTATTTTAAATAATTAAATAGAATTGTTACATTGTCCTTTGATATTAGTGTTAACTCTTGTCCTGCAGTGAGTTGACAGTGGCGAATTGGCCATGGTGAGTTGGCTGTGGCAAATTGTCCCATTTCAGATTAAGTAAGTAATGCAAAGTTTTATATTATGGTCCAAGGTCAATAAGCCTTCTTTTAAAGTAATCATACAGGTAGTCCTCACTTATGACCACAATTGAATGTTGCTTAGGACCAAAATTTATGTTGCTAAGCAAGTCAGATAAGTGAATTTTGCTCCCATTTTATGACCTTTCTTGCCACAGTTGTTAAGTGAATCACTGCAGTTGTTAGTAACTGTTGTTGAGTGAATCTGGCTACTCCATTAACTTTGCTTGTCAGAAGATCACAAAAGGTGATCACATGACCCTGGGACACTGTAGCTATCATAAATATATGCCAGTTGCCAAATGTCTGAATTTTGATCACATGACCATGGGGGTGGCTGATGCAACGTTGTAAGTGTGAAAAAATTGTCAAAAATCACTTTTTTTCATTGCTGTTGTAACTTTGAATGGTCATTAAATAAATGGTTATAAATCTACCTATATAGGATTGCATTTGCCATTGCCAAAAGAGCTGGTACCATAAACAGCATCTTAGTGTAGTCTTAATGGTATTACTTGTAGCAAGCAAGATTAAAATATTGTTTTTAAATTGTATTTTCATTGCCTACATAGGTACTCAGTATGCATTTTTCACAGAAAGACAACTGCAATCTACTGCTAAACTTCAAAATGTAAGTTTGAATGACTGAATAACAGGAAACAGATTTCTCCCCAAAGTGATGACTACAGCTACTACTGTAATACTTCATTCCTATCTCCAAAAATTTACTTCTGTTCTTTTCTATCCTCCTTCCTGCTGTTGCTCAAAGACTGACTACAGAGCTTGCTTAGTCCACCTAGGCTGCCCCTCCATCTCTCCCCACCTTTTTCCTCTACAGTTTTTTTTGGTGGTTTTGTTACCGTCCCTCGTCCCATTTTCATTACCTTTTTCAGGCTGCCTGTTTCTGGGTTTTATTTGAATGGCACCGTTTTGGCTGTATAAGCAACAACAGGCAAAAGACTTCTTCAGATGCACGTCACCTTAAACTCTGCCCAATTTTAGTTCCATGCTTGGATTAATTCAAGTTATAGTGTGGTGGTGCTATTGTGATTAGAATGCAATACTGCAAGATATTTCTGCTGACTGCCAGCTGCCAGCAGTTTGATTCTGGCCGTCTCAAGGTTGATTCAGCCTTCCATTCTTCCGAGGTCAATAAAACGAGGACCCAAATTGTTGGGGGCAATATCTGTAAACAGTTTAGAGAGGGCTGTAAAACGAATGTTAAGAGTTTACCGGACTGATGGCATCGGATGACTGACAAACAAAACAAATGGGAGAAGGAGGCCGGCGAGGCGGCTTGAACCACCAGGCGGAGGCGCTACAGCTCCGCCGGCTTCCCTGGACGGTTTGAGCGCCTCGCCGGGAGTTTCGCGACCGCTGGAGGGAGGTTCCTCCCCGCTGAGCGAGCAGATTGTGTGCCTGGTGCCCTGCCCTGGAGGCATCATGGAGCTGCGGACGGAGCTCTTAAAATCGATCTGGTACGCCTTCACGGCTTTGGACGCCGAGAAAAGCGGCAAAGTCTCCAAATCTCAGCTGAAAGTGAGTAAAAAGACCAAAAGAAAGAAAAAAAAAAGTCAGCAACCCGAAAGAGCCTCTGAGGCGCGGGCGGGAAGGGCATTGAGTCCTGCTTGCCAAGGCGAGGAAGGCGGCGTGCTTGGCAAGAAGAATTCGCGGCCAGCTTTGCTTCTGCTAGCTTTGCTCCGGGGCGCGCATTTTGTGGGTTTGGAGGCGATCTGAGGGCAAAATCAGATTTATATTTAAAAAAAAAAACACCTCTTCAGGAAAAAAACGGGGGGAAATTAAGGTTGTATTTATTTAGTTGGCTTTCGTGGAAACACCGTGGAATCCTGTCGTTTTGTAAAGATCCGTTGTTTTTCTTTTCAGTCGGGGCGAGAGATGTCAGTTGCAGAAATTAAGCCTTAGCTTCCATCCTGTTTTGCCTCCTTTGGTCCCCTAAAGCCTCGGTGAGGTGTTGTTGGAAAAAAAAAAATCTGGGTGTAAAGCGCAAATGTTGTTATGGTTCTATGGAAACTGGCTTTGATCAATCCTATGCAGAGCAACCGCGCTGCAAACATTGTTCGTTCTTTCTTTCTTTGACAGAAAGTATTCGTATTTGTTTCTTCCTCCCTCGGTGAGCGCCAAAAATGTTACATGGAAGTAATAACACTCTATTTTGTTTAAGGGAGGGGGGGGGAGAAAAAGAAAATTTTCCTCTGGTATTATAACTTTCCAATAGTAGCAAAACTGATGCTTCCATGTAAAATTTGGGAGTGGGGGGGGGAATGTCTTGTCAGGTGTGGGAAAAGAAGATGAGATGTAAATACATGCAAGAAAAGTAGGGCAAATAGAGCTCTAGTTTGATGCAAATGGGGCGACACCTTGTGAAATCAGCGCTAAGGAGATGCATCTAAATGATATAAAGTGGCTGTCTTTCCTTATTATTCTCTTACATAATGCAGCAGCTGAACCAATGGAAAATTGTTTGGTCATTCTGGACCATTTTCCACAGTGCCAAAAGAATGCAAGCAGTGTGCAGCTGCCCCAGTGTTTAGCACTCCAGAGAACTCCCACACTGCTGATCTTTGGAGTTACAAGGCGGTCTTGCAAGCTTTTGCACCCAAAGGACATGACATGTCAAATGTGCTTTTTCAGATGCAAAATGCTGTTTTAAAATGTCTACAGAAATTTGGTCTTGCATTGGAGTTTGCGATTGGGTAGTGCTTCTCTCCAAAGATTTTTGTTGCAACTTTCTCTAGTTAGATTTGACTAGGATTGCCAGAATGTGGCACTTGGGCAGATCCGAGAACAGAATCCTGAATGTGTTTTTGAGGGCCATCTTCAGTTTGTGTTTATTAGTCTTGCAGAGTTAAAGCAAGGCATGAAAGGGTGAGGCTTTAAAACCACCAATTCTGAGCCGTGGTTCCCATTACGTCATTGTTACTTCATGGAATAGTGCTGACAGGAATGATTTTGTATGCTTGTGTTAGCAAGCTAGCAATATCCATTCATTAATCTGAATGCTGTAAAGTAGGTATAACCATTTCAGATGTTGTAGTTGGAAGACTTACTTGATATTTTTGAGCCTGAAGTACAAACTCACTACATTATGTGACCTGATTTATTTTAGATTACATCTGTCTTTCTTATATCGTGGATATCTTAGTTATATGCTTTCCCAAATTATCTGTCCTCCATATGCTGAGGCCTAAATCATCGGTTGATATAGTGACCTGTGTCTGGTGTCTTCAGAAACATGGCTTGAACATTCATTGTGATTTATTTTATATAAAATGTAGTAACATTGCTAGAGTTATTAACAACAGATCAAACAATCTTTATTTTATTTGTAGGCAATGGAATTTCTTCTTTCAGGAAGTGTGTGCAATATATAGACCTATGTAAATATTTATAATAGTCATTGAGATGAGCAGGAATATTTTTAATCTACTATTTTTTTATTCACTATTGAAAACATTTTTTTAAAAAAATATTGTTTTATAGAATTAGAAACCAGGAGACTGTGTGTTCTAGAGCTGCCTTACACATGAAAGTCAGATGGATGACTTTGGGCCTGTCTCTCTCTCTCAGATTACAGTGTCAGGCTCAGGCAACAAGCCATTTTGGTCAAATTCCTGTCACAACCACTGGATCAACACTTGATTGATCTGGAAAATAAAAGCAGACCCTGCACTTGTAGGGAAATGCTAGGGGAAAAAAATAGGTTAAATCCGAAATCCAAGTTGTAATTAACTTTTTCAGGAGATTATATGTAGGAAGCATGCATTTAAGTATAGAGCTCTTTAGGCAAGTTGCAATTAATATTTTAACAGTCCTCAGTGCTTCTCTTTTTCTTTTTTAAAATCAAAGAATATAAACAGATGCTGAGTTCTATCATCAAATAATATTTCTTTAAAAAAAAAGAAATTGCAGCGCGCAATACATGTTACATATCTCATGGCATCTTTCTGTTTCTTATTTATATGCTTTTACTGTTTTTATGAGGCCTGTACAGCAATTCAGAAGGTGCTAAAATGGAGTTATTCACTATAGATAAGGCTATCAATGGCTACTAGTTACGATGTGTGCCCTCCCTGAATTTGGGGAGAGTTTGCTTTTGCACACCAGCTGTTGAGGAATACAAATGGAGGCGGTGATGCACCCATGTTTTATTGCTAAATCTTAACTGCATGAGATTACATATCTAGCCTCTTTGTGGTGTGTTCCTTCTTAACATCGAAAAACTGTAGTGAGTGTCTCAGAGATGCTTCCTGTGGGGCACACATGACGTTTTTAAAGTCACCAGTAAGATTTTTCTTCCTGTTTTAGTTATAGAGGGCTCTTGCTTTTCCAGTTGTCAGTGCTTGCTTTTAGGTGTGCATATTTGCAGAAGTTCGTGTTTTGAAGCCCATCTCCATAGACTGTTGATGAGTTTGGAGAACCAGGGATGAAAATGATCAAGGAGTAAATATGGAGTTTTGTGATAGTTATAGTGGAATCACTCCTGCCCCATCTCTATCTGACTGCTTTTTTGCAACATTGAAAAAAATGGTTTGTATTTCTGCAGCATTCTTTTAATAATTAGAAATGGAGATAGTATTCCACAGGTGGGCATACCACAGACTTATATATAATATTGCCAGGTTTCTTTCTTATTTCTTTCCTCCAAAAACTGAAGAGGAAATTTTCGCTGGTAGTAGGAGGTAGCATATTAGACTAAGTAGCAGCAATCAATTTCTGCTAATTGTTGTCTGTTGTCTGTTGATAAATGATATTTTGTGACTGTAACAATCTTCTTGTGAATTGTCTATTAGACAGCTGTTTTGTGACAGCATCCAGATATACTGTCATAGTTTCAAATATGTCGACTGTCCCTAGAAATTTATCTGCTCATGGTACAGTAAATACGAAATTAATTGTATATTCTGCCAATGTGTCATCTGCTTGCACTGACCCATATATTTTAAAGTTCCCTGATTTTCAGAGATTTTTTGCTATTTCTGTAACCATCCAGAATTATTACCTGTTCCCACAATTTATATAACTTGAGAACATTATCTCCTAATTTGTTAGCACATCTGCCATGAAAATAATGTCAGATATTTGCCCACTCAGGATGGAAGAATGAGAGCTTTTCTTTGTGTTGGAATTAGTGAATGTGGCTTGAAGCATTTTCATGTAGACTCCAACTCAACATTCATTAATTTTTCAGACGTTAGACTTGTACCTCTCCTACACTGCATATTTCCAGAATCCTATTCATTGTAAGAGTTTGACCAAGAGATTAAAAGCTTTTAAGGCTGAAGTTATAAGAAAATATTTAACATAAAAAGTACAATTGCATTCATAACTATAATTTTCAATAGAAAAATGGGATTTGTAAGTGCAGAATGATTTTGTTGGCGGTATGTTTTGCATGTTGCAACAAGATAGGACTTACTTGATCTGTTCTTTTTCTCTTTTCTAAATCATTTTACAGTCTGCATGTTTGAAGTTTCTGATTTAACCTATGAGTGCCAGGTAAAATATTTTACCTTGTAGCAAAATTATGATGGGAAAATTAAATATGGCTCTAAATTAATTCATGCTCTTTTCACATGCTTTAATGGACTGAATTAGAGTTAACACTTAATCTAAAAATATAATTCATTGGGTCTGCTATAATTATGTTAATCTTTTTTAAAAAAAGCTTTTGAGGAGAATATAGAGCCCAGTTTGCATGAAATGATAACTCAGCTCTTTGAAATTGTGGCTTAATTTGAATGAGAAAGTCAGCAGATACATGTTGCCTAATTGGTTCCTCTTGCAGCAAGGCCCAGCTAAGTAAAACAGAAAATCTATCCACGGATGTCAAACTGGAGGCCTGTGGGCCTCATGCATCATGTGCAGCCCATGCCAGCTCCACAAATGGAAAAAACATCATGAAACGTCATGTGACAGCAACATGAGATGGCGAGTTTGACACCCGTGAATTAAACCTTGGCTTTAGATTTTCACATGCTGGGAAAGTAATGTGCACTGAGAACTCTTGTTTGGAATCTCCAGATTTAACAAACAGAGGCATGCTTTCTTCACTAATTTGTGTGCCCATTTTCTGTAGTGGTATCATTTTAAAAGAAGCAATGTCCTTTCTTCACTATCTCAGAGGGGAAGAATAAGATGCTTCTACTACCTGTTGTTTTAATAAGGACCTACAAGAATTAAGTGCCCTATTCGATTCAAACGATTATTAAACAAAACATTCCTGCTATTAACAGATAGCTAACTTCTTAATTTATATATTCATTTGAATTATTTATTATTTCAGAATAATAATTATTGTATTATTTATTTAACCATATTCTGAGTGCAAAGAATATTAGAAGTGAGTAGTCTAGCAGCTATAGGTAGTCCTCAACTTGTATCAGTTCATTTCGTGACAACGTTATTGAAAAAAGTGACTTATGACCGTTTTTCACAGTTACAATGTTTGCTTCATCCCCATGATCATGTGCTCAAAATTCAGATGCTTGGTAACTGGTTCATACTTATGACGATTGCAG